TGAGAGAACACAGCGAGGTTCTCCCAGACTCAGGCTGGTGTCACAGTGGGACTCGCACAACACTGGATCCAATTGTCTTTCAGATGCCACCAACAGCACAAAGTCAGGTCCAGCTCCCTGCGAGCAGTGAAGGCAGTGTCATCTTTGTAACCCAGCTCATCTTCCTGGTCCTATTTGCTGTGCAATCTCAGAGATATTCATGGCACATGGGAGGGACAGTGCTGGGCAGAGCTAATAGTCAAAGCCAGCATGAGATTGCTTTTTCCAGTGGCAATCACAGCTAACTTCAGTGAAACTAAGATATAAGAACCTGCAGTAGAACAAAGACAGGAGAGGAACTGTGGTAATAAGTAGAGAAGGACAGGCCAAGAGAGGGAAGACAGTAAAAGGTATTGGTTTCAATGTGAGAGGTGAGTGCAATGACATTTGTAGCACTATTCTGCATAAATATGAGTGAATATTATATTTTTGGAAGCTGGAGGGAAAGATATCACAGTAATCTTGATATGAAGTGATTAAGGTCAGGCTGAGATATATTGCTGTGTGGGTAATAAAGGACATTATTTGAAAGAAGACACCCAAAAATATCTTGAAAATTTAGACATTGTCTGCAAATGAGAACCCTGAAAATGAGAAATAATAGTCTGACTTAAAAACAATGCCCAAATAAATGTGTGTGTGTGTATTTATAGTTAGTATAGTAAGCTCAAAAAGGAAGAGAAGGGACTGAAGTAGAGAAGGTGGCCATGCACCAGTAACTTAATTGGTCTGTGTCTGTGAAATTACCTGAAGTCAAGATGAAGAAGAATAGAAGTGATCAAAAGAAAAAACCCTTCCCAAAGGAAGCCAAAGGATGACATACTAATGAAGGAGGAAAAGGAAACTGTAAGATGGGAAATGAAAAGCAAAAGGACTGCCATGTGTTTCAAAGATTGCTGACACATCAGAGAAGATGGGAACTGCTCTGAGGATTAACTGAGTCATGGTAGTTAGGAAATGGGACACACCACTCTGATGCAGGAGGTATAGAAACCTCCTTGGAGGTTTGAGGTTGGAGAGGGTTTAGGTGGGTGTGTAAGAGTCCAAATAATGAATTTAAAGATTCAGTTTACTGACCTCAGGGATGAAAGGCAAGAGGGAGATGGAGCAAATGGAGATGCTGGAGAAACAAATGAAGTCAGAAGTGGGATGGGAAGAATTAAAGCAGGAGGATGGAAAGAACGGTATGTTATGCTTGCTCGTGACCTTTGGAAATTTATATTATGGTTTCTAGCAGGGGTTAGTGTAAGGAATAGTGGTTGCCACTGCCTTTGCCTGGCTCTGATTTTGGTGTGACTGTAAAGCATCAAACACAAACATACTTCAGTTATTTTCTCTGTTTAAGTCTCTTCCCGTGGGCTATTTTGTTTGTCTTCTCCTCGAGGTTTGCCACTGGTGTGACAAACAGTGCTTTACAGAGGAGGAAGCTTTAGAAACACAGAATTAAAGATGGAAAATTCCTCTGTAAAAGATCAACTAGCCCACTGTGCTTGGTAGGCCAAGGGATAAACACTGTGTTGTGCTTATTTAAAATACCACAAGAAGTCTCCCACAGCAACTGCTCCACCAGGCAGTGGATCTTACAGCCAAGCCATTGTGACAGTACTCATCCTAATCTTTTTGACTAGTTTCACCCTAGTTTCTCTCTTCTCACAATAAAAATGCTCTCACTTCTGTAAACCAAAATAGTTGTTCTCCCACAACTGCGTTTATTTTTTTGTAGCATTGTGTCCTATACACCGTGCACAGCTGTATTTAATTCTTTCAACTCACATGACAGGGCCTCTGAATCAATCCTCATCAATTCTGCTTTTTAAAAAATAATTCATTTATGTTTACTGATGTCTTTTTGATGAGAAGATAGTGCATTCAGTTCTGACTATTCCAAAGAGTTTCCACAACATTACCAGTAACAGAGGCTTTTGTTAGTTTCTGTTTTTGAACTCTACTATCCCATTGTTTTCTTGTTTCTGTTTTTTTTTTCCCCTCCCATCATCTCAAATTATGGCCCCTGTCTAATTTACTGTCTGCTTTCCTGTTATTTTAGGTCTCTCTCAGCATTAGAGCTTCTGGGAATTCGTCTTCTCAATGAATATATGTGAGTTGAGTTATTTTTTTGACAGATGTAGTAGTATCCCCTGTGGAACTACATTTTGTTTCCTGAATATAATTTGTGCCAGAGCTTTGACTTGTAAAATTAATAGAATAGTGTACCCTCAACCCCAGAGCTTAGAGGTGTTTCCTTCCCTTCCCCTTCCACCCCCAAACTTGAAATCATAAAAATGAACATTAAATGGCAACTAAAGAAAAAATATTTTATTTTCCTCTTTGAAAGAGTTGTTTAAGCTTCATGGCATCACTGATACATGAAATTTTCTCACTACAGTCCCAAGAGAAAGATGAATTTGCTTTGTTAAATAATTTCCAGTGTCACTGAGGATTACCAGATGTGTCCTCCCTGTATGAGACGTGATAGGAGGTTGCTGCTCCCAGCTTATCCCTATTTATCTGCCCCATACTGCTTGCAACAATCTGCAAGACAACTTCAGATGTAGCTACTGCCTAATCCTTTGTTGCCAAAATCATTCACTTTAGTTGAAGTCAGTTGTTTTTGGTTTTTTTTGCTTGCCCCTCCTCCCCACCACACAACACTTTGGACAGATGTAGTAAGTACCTGCTATCCTTGCAGATGGAAAGGGCAAGAGATGCTTGTGAATGGGATAAGAATAAAACCACTTTAGTTGAAGTCAGTTTTTTTTTTTTTTTTTTGCTTGCCCCTCCTCCCCACCACACAACACTTTGGACAGATGTAGTAAGTACCTGCTATCCTTGCAGATGGAAAGGGCAAGAGATGCTTGTGGATGGGATAAGAATAAAATGTAGGTTGGTGACTTCTTAGCCTGTTTTAGCTGCAACCCTCAGCTATTTGAAATTAGTGCCAGAATTGGTAATGCTCTTCAGAAATGATGACTCTCCTCACTGCCCTCCTCACAGACTACAGCATGGGTCTTTTCCCAGGACTTGTTTCTGGGAAGCACATGATGCTGAAGACCTGTTGGATCCCACAGCCAAAGCAATTGTGGGTTCATCCCATCATCAAGTGCATTATAAGCAAACCAATAAAAGGTCACATCTGTTAGTCACAGCTCTTGTGGTTAGGCTCCTATTGAACAGCAGGCTGTGTGAGAGCAGTGCGTGTGTGTGCTCAGTCTCGCTATACAGCGTGCTACAGAGAGGACGTGTGGTGTTAAGGCAGAGTGGCAAAAACAAAATTAAGGCTGTAGCTATTTTCCACATAGCTGTTCATTATAGGCGTGTCTGTGGCAACATTGTTGATGCTGTCAGTTTGCCTGCTTTTCAGTTCTCTGAGACGATGCTGCAGGACAAGGCCATAGAAGAGCCCGTTCCTCTCACAGAAAGCACACAGCAGTGCATCTGCACCACACGTTGTCTTTGGGGCAGAGAACAGACACCTGCGAATTAGCACTTGTCTGTGTAAGGCAAAGAGTTTTCTTTGAAAACTGTGTTCTTCTCTTGATCAAACCAGAGCTAAAAGGGGAAAAGGAGCAATTCAAGGTAATTTTTCTCATCTGTAAACCTGAACATAAGTCTTTTCTCTTCAGAGCCCTTTCACTGCTACCTTATTCCATTTGGGCAAGCTGTAGGGCAGAATTTACCTTATCTAACTTTGAAAGCTGGGTGTGTTTTGCATGGACTCAGATAGCTAAAGTTAGGTAAAATTAATCCCACCTAAGTCTTTTATCTTTTTCTGCTGGGATAATATTTCTAGTTGTCTTTCTTGTCTGCCCTTGCCATATATTAAAGTCTTCCCAGTACCTATGCTCCTCCATAACATAACTTGAGGCCCTCATTCTCAAAGACTATTTTCTTTCCACAGAATCCTCACTTCTTCCTAATGAGGAAATTAAAGAGAATATCCCTTTTCCTTCTGGTGTGGTGGCAGGGGTCTTTTTAGCTCTTTCCTCTCACTTGTTCCACAAGTGAGAGCCCAGCCATACATCAGGATGGTCACAGAAGTCTGTGCTGTGGCTGTCATGTCCCTCAGTGGCAGTCCTGAAGCTGGAACCATATGGGTATGACAACTACCTTTTCTTTCAAAAACTTAAGGAGGAATTTTTCCCACACCTGAAATGTCTTGTCAAATTTTGATTCATAAATATGTGAGTTAAAATTTGGGGAAAGATATCAGCTTGTAGGATGGTGTTTTGGTTTTTTTTAAGAATATCTGGGAATTTCTCTTAAATGGAGCATGCCACCTGAACAAATATGTCAGGTCACCAGACTCTTCACCTAAAAATTCCTTAGGATTTTTGCTGGTCCATGGAGAACAGTTGAAGTACAGTAAGTCAAATCCTTGCTTTGCAGCCGATCTACCTGCAGTGATGGTCACTTCCCAGCTATACCATGAGTCACAGATTGGGATCACCACTCAAACTCCACTACAGCAATGCTGTCTCTGAAAAATAATTCCTGTTGGCTTGAAAAGCAGGTGCAGAATGAATGACAATATGCACTTTTAATTATTAGTAGATTAACCAATTTTATATTCTGGGTAGGTATCAACTCTCATCATGTGACATGAGTCTGGGACGGGAAATATGTTTTTGTATGTGTTCATACAGCTTGCAGTAAAGTCCTGTCTGCAATCCCTAGGTAATGATTTTGTGTTCATAATTGTAAACCCTAACTAGTACAGAGAACAGAGGTAAGGTTCACAATAGCTCAGGGAGTCTTTGTTTTAAACATCTGGCGATAGAAAAAGACATGAGAATACCTCTCCTACAAACACATATGACAGCTGTTCTTATCAAAGCTTACTATGGATATCGACACAACTTAAAAGTGTTAAAGGATCCCAGCATGAGCTAATGGATTTACATACTGGTTTCAGAGTAGCATCATCTTTTTCCATTCTGAGACCAGATACAACTCAGTTGTAAAGTTACGATTTGAATTCTCTTAACAAGGAGTGCATCAGGTTACCAAGCTTTGCCAGTATGGTGCATAATTCACAAAAAGCTCTTAAATATTTCGACAAAATTACACTCTTTTGCCAATTTGGTTTGTCTCCTTTAAGCACTTGAAAGTCTCAAGTGTTTTCAATTAATGTGTAGCTCTCCAAAAGTCAGCGTAACTATTTGACTTACATGTTCCATGCGACTGCTCCCTGATTGCAACTAATTGCGGCTTTTAATCTCTTTAAGGACCCCGAATTACACGTGTTTTTTTTTCAGCAGTTTCCTGTTTGATACCTGCTGTAGGCTGTGACAGCAGAACAGAGCAAACTGCACGGCGCTGCGGCTGCCAGAGGAACCTTGAACCATGAGATCAAAATAAAATAAACCCTTACTTTAAACGGCACATCCCTTCCCCCGTGCTACAGGACCCGTTGTTTTGGCTGGGTGCGCCCCGAGCCGAGCCAGCGAGAAGCCGGTCCAGCATCTCCCGGCCGAGCCGCGGGACCCGGGCCGGCCGCCCTTCCCCGGCAAGGGCCTCCCGAGCTCCTCCATCCTTTCCAGTGCCTTTCTTTCGCTTAAGGTCAGAAGAATTTAAACTTCCTGACTCGGACGGGACGGGAGGGGTACCCCCGGGCGGAGCGGGGTGGGAGCCGGGGAAGGCAGGCGCGGCTGGCCCCGCTCCGCCCGGCCCGGCCCGGCCGGCTCTGCTCTCGGCGGGGAGGAGCCAGCCCGGGGCAGGCTGTAGCAGCAAGGGCTGGCCGGCCGCCAGGAAGTGTAAAATCCTGGCCGGTGGGTGGCAAATTTCGCCAGATCGCGGCGAGGAGGCAGCGCGTCCGTCTGTCCGTCCGTGCGTGCGTCCGTCCGTGCGGGCGCGGGGAGCGGCAGCCCGGCCCGGGTGAGTGCGAGCCGCGACCAAGGGCGCCGGCCCCGCTCGGCCGGGGGCTCGGGGGCCCGGGCCGGCGGCGGTGCCGCTGGCGGAGCGAAGGGGATGTTTACCGGGGGGCGGCCGAGAAGGGAGCGGGCTGGGCCGGCTCCCCGCGCTCCGCCGTGCCTCTGGAGCGCAGTGCAGGCATGAGACCTGGGTAAGTTCTCCATTTAAAAATATTAAAAATAGACCCTCCGGCTCCATAACGCTGCCGAGTGAGTCATTTCCAAACCAAATGTCTTAGTCTAACCCTTCCCCCCAGGAGATGCAATAATTCTGAAACCGGGGCGGAGGGAAAGAGATTCTTCTCCCGTCTCTCTCTAAATAAGTTGAATTAGCACGTAGAGGAGACAAAAGCCATAAGAGTAGCCGGCCACCTGTTTAACAAAGTGAAGCATAGCTCCATCCCTTCCTCTCTTCCCTTGTACCTCTCCCGTGCTGTCGCCGCCCATCTCTCCCTAACGTGCACTCGGAGCCTCTCTGCCCTAGGAATATTTACAGTGCTTTCCAATTTCGTGGGCATAATCTACTTTCCAGTTCCTTCCACTGCCAAACACATTCACTGCCACCGTCTTCTCCACGGGACATCAGCCACAGCCACACGTCATTCCAGCAGTCACCCCAGTCAATGCAGCCCCTGGCTGTCTATGCTGAAAAGAGTAGTCCAAAGCACAGCTGTTTTTTTCCGCCTTTTCCAGTCATATGATGATTTGTTCATGTAAGTGAGCTGTCTTGACTAGAGGGATTTTTCATTTGTCAAAAACAAGTGCTGAGCATATTTATAGCAATGCTGCAATTTTGTGGTGTGAAAGACCTTGGGTATGCAGAACTCGTTGGTACCTGGATCAGCATGCAAGACCTGTTTACGTCTCTCATATAGTGCTCTCTGTGTGTGCATATTTCTTGTATATACCCACAGATCGTATTTCATGGTGAAGCAGTGTGCACAAAACACAGGAGCTGATACTCAGGTTATGTATTTCTTTCTCTTAAACTGATGCCACAGTCCAGCTGTGCAGTAGCTTCTGACAGTATAGCTCTAAATCAGAGGGGTCAAGACATTGTGCTCTACTAATGAACTGACTTTCCTGAAAACCCCCTAGCTGCAAGTAAAATCCTGTTCTCTTACCTCTGTGAAGAACTTTGTTAGCATTTTGACAACAAAAAATGACCTATAGTTGAAAATCTATGCAGTAAATTATGTCAGCTGTTCTACAGTCATAACAAGGATGTTAGATTTGAGAATGTGATCTGTGGTAGCAACCCAAAACTTAATGGCTCTCTGTGTAGGTAAGTGGAGAGTTGTGATGTAAAAGCACTGGCATTCTTCTTTTGCTGCTTAGATTAAACTTCTCCTATTAAAGCTATGTATACTTTTTACAGCCAAGAGAGACCACTGTGATTGATGGACCTGTCACATAGAGTGAAGAGTGCTAAGAAATTCCTGCAGAAGGCATGCGGCTTTTCTTTTAGCTGTAACACATAAGAGATTCATGAACTTAGTACATCAAAGTGCTGAATTTAAAAAATGAAAAGGTTATTCTCTTGTGTCCCAAAACACAAGAAAAAGTAGACTTCAAATCCCAAGTAAATGCAAATTTCACAGCAATCTAAGATAAGGTATGCTCTTGATGCATAATTCATTAGCATTTACAATGGTGTTCTTGCTAAGGTACAACATCTGAGGGAGCAAAGTTCTTGAGCTTGGGTCAAAAAACATGTGCATTTTGATGAAGCTAGGAAGAACCTTTTCCAGAGGTGGATTATTCTTGGTTGTCTATGAGGAGGGTGTCCTAAATCTCTGGCTGAAGTAGCTGTCATATGGTGTGTTGTGGGTGTGTTGTGCTGGGTTCTGCATGGATGGCACTGACAAGGGTGGGCAGGGAAGTACAGGTGCACTCAGGTCCTTATTGGGAGTCTTTTTTGACATGTCAGTTTAATAGTAATATCTCCTTTTGGCAGTTTTACAGCACAGTTAAGGTGACAGTTTCGCATTTGTCTTCCGCCTTCAAGATAAAATTCTTTGTATTAACTTTGTGCAGTGTGTTTATGGGTTGTCTGATATCACCTGAAACTCTGATAAGACTTTCAACGTTCGCTTTCAAAGTTCAGCTAGAACACAGGTAGTGTTTACTGAGTCCTTACTCCCTTTTGGAAGAATTTCAATTCCTTAAATTTCCAGCAACCAAAGACAGAATAGGTGAGATATTTAACCTTTTCTTTGATGTAGCTTCCATTCTTATGAAAAGAGTGGAGGAATGGGACTTGCATGTATCAGCAAGGATTTAAAAGTAGCACATCAGTACTAGAATTTTATCCTTCTTGTAACTCATATTCAGTGAGTTCAGTTTTCATGTGACGTTTTTAGGCGCCTGTAGTATTTGTGGATTTTTTTGCCCATAATGTATGGCCTTTTGTATTCATTGTTTCTGCTGATGTGAGTTCAAGCATAAATATACACTGACTAAATATGTGCTGGGTTCCAGGGCCTATTCAGTAGGGCATAACAACCTGTTTTTACTGCACAAGATGAGTTTAAGTGCAGCTCAGAAGATGGACTGAGGATTTTAGCAAAACCCCAGTTACATTACAGCTGGCTGAGGATGGGCTGTGATGTAAGCAGCTACTTAACTGCCACGGTTTGTAGCCTCAGGGTTAAAAATGTCAGGCATAGTTAGGTTTTTCATAACAACAACAGGAATGTGAAAATCAAAATCAAAAAGGAATAAGAATGAAGTGCACGAAAATAGACAAAGATTGTCATTCTAGTTGCAGCAGAGATAGTTCTTAAATAATTTTGGTTGCTGACTTACTGTTTGATTTTGATAAAGTATATCTTGCATGCTTCTGATTAACATTCCTAGAAAATTAAACATGTCATTACATTTAGACTGATAATGACCTTTTTGCTTCTGAAATGACATTTTTCTCTCACTCCATGATTTTGCCTGGCATACAATCATAGAAACATAAAATGTTTTGGATTAGAAGGGACCTTAAAGATCATCTAGTTCCAAGCCCCGGGCATGGGCAAGGACACCTTCCAGTAGACCAGGTTGCTCAGAGCCCCATGCAACCTGGCCTTGAACAATTCCAGCTTCTCTAGGCAACCTGTTCAGTGTTTCATCACCCTCGCAGTACAAAGTTTCTTCCTAATGTCTAATCTAAAGCTATTTTCTTTAAAGCCATTCCCCCTTCACCTATCACTGCATGCCCTTGAACACAGTTCCTCTCCAGCTCTCTTGTAAGGCCCACTTTGAGTTCTGGAAGGTGCTCTAGGTTTCCCTGGAGCTGTCTCTTCCCCAGGCTGAACACCCCCAACTCTCCCACCCTGGTCCACTCCTCTGATCGTCTTCATGGCCCTCCTCTGGACTCCTTCCAACAAGTCCACGTCATTACTGTGTTGGGGGCTCCAGAGCTGGATGCAGCACTCCAGGTGAGGCCCTCAGGGGAACAGAGTGGAGAGGGAGAATCACCCCCATTAACCTGCTGGCCATGCTGCTTTGGGTGCAGCCCAGGATATGGTTATCTTTCTGGGCTGCAGCTGCACATTGCTGGGTCATGTCAAGGTTCTCGTTCACCAGCACCCCAAGTCCTTCTCCCTAGGGCATTCTTGGCCCAGCCTGTATTTGTACCTGGGATTGCTTTGACCCAGGTGCAGAACTCTGCACTTTGCCTTTTTCAACTTCATGTTCAGGCTCTCAAAGCTGTCTAGGTCCCACCGGATGGCATCTCTTCCCTCCAGTGTGTCGATTGCACCACGCAGCTTGGTGTCATCAGTGAACTTGCTGAGGATATGCTCAGTGCCACTATCCTTGTCACAGACAAAGGTGTTAAATGGTGCCTATCCCAGAGCTGACCACTGCTCTCCACTTGGATAAGGAGCCATCCACTGCAACTTCTTGAATGTGACCACCTTTAAGAAAGCAACCTGTGGCTTGTCTGTTCCTTTCTTGTGAATTCCCTTAGGAATTTGTTTGTGAATTTCACCACATTTGACCAAGGAAGGAATGGTCTAAAAGGTCAAGTGGTCTAAATGGTCAAAGTTTCTCTGAGATCTGTGAAACTATTTTTAGAGCCCATGCTAAAGGAATGGCTCTTTGTGGGTGTTGTCACTTCCCACAAGTGTGAAATTCAGAAGGGAGAGCAATGCTATGTTAGTTTCTGGTTTTGAAAACATATTTGTCAATTCAGTCCAAAGACCTTTTTCTACAGAAAGAGTTTGATAGCTTACTCATACTTGTGTCATTCAAGTGATACATTCTTGGGCTTTTTTTCTTCAGTAGGGGTGCATTTACTAGGGCATCTGTTGAATGCAGGAATACTGCCAGTGGAAGGAAACAACTGTAAGAAGTCAATAATAACTCATGTGTTTCATCTTCCTTGTTTTCATATGTGTTCCCATTTAGTTGTAGTTCTTGAAAATCACCTGCTAATCAAGTGAGTTTAAGACTCGAAGGAACAGCATGAGGGGGCCTGAGATCCTTGGAGTACTGCTTTGCTATTAAATCAGCTGTGGTTTTTGGAGTGTTAACAGCTTGAGTAAAGCCTTGCTGTAGAACTGGAGACAAAGCAGTGGTGATTTTGTGTCTGCCATGTGTTGGTGGGTGAAACTCAAAAGATGATTGCAGGTAAGTTTGGAGCTGTGGGTTATG